ATTATATTTAATTATTATGAAAATTATTGCTGAACCATTACTATAAATTAACATCGCATTTATGTACATCAATTTACTTATTAAAGATGTAAATTAATCTATGTATCTACATTATATTTTTTTAATATACTGGAGGCACAAATCATTGTGCATCATGTTAAATATTTAAAATAAGTTGTTTTAAAAATTATTATTTTTAAACAAAATGTAAAATTACAAACAAAAACAAATGCTAAACATAGATATTAAACAATGGTTAAAATCAAACATTTATTGACAATAACATCTATTTTATTAATAATATTTTAAAAATCAAGTATCAATACAAATATTTGAGTTGATAAAGTGTTTAATATTACATTCATTTTTGAAATTGATTTTAAATATACTGTTGATTATTCACACATTAAAATTATTTTGTTTGAATATCGTTCTAAAATTTTGCTATTACATCGGTTATGATTTCATTTTTTGACTATAGTCAGTATAACAACGTTGTGTGTTCAGAAAAATTATCTTATTATTAAATAAATAGTCGTATTTATGTTTAAAATAATGAAAATTGGGTAAAAACTCAAAAATGTATAAAAACTAAAAGAATTCAATGGGTTTTTAAAATCATTTACAGAAATTATCCACTCAGTTTAGTCCAAAAGATACTGGCTAATTTTAAAGCAAATAACTTTGTTAGAGTGACTATAGTATCAAAGTTCATGAACTTATTTATTTGTATTTTGTGTTTTCAAAGTGTAAATTCAAACAAAATGTTTACTCTTAAACTGACTTTTGTTTAGTCATATTTGATGTAATTGATTTTTGATACAACAAAAAATATTCTATTGTTTAAAACTGTTTTGGTGTCTAGTGGTGATGATATAACATAAATATAACTTATGTTCTTTATAAAATCGTTGTTGTTGTAAATGAAAAGACAAAATTGATAAACATAATATCAATGTTTATACACCGTTTTAAATTAAAAACCACTGAAAGCAATAATTAACACCAAATTGATTAACATCATTTAAATGAATATAAAAACAATTAAAATAAAATAACATAAAACAATATATTTTAATTATTGTTAAATGTAATAAGTTAAAATATCATTATTATTTGAGGTTCGATAAATAATCAAATTAAAAAATAAATATTATTTGTAAATGTCACATTTTTCATTGTATTATTTAAAAATAATACCGATTAGTACATTAAACATATTAACACAATGTAACTTATCATGTGCAAATATCTCAAAAAATATTTGTTACACAAATTGTAATTAATTGAGAAAATTTTAATCTATATTCTAAAGACAAAACAAAAAAGTTACAAACATTTAATAATGACACTTACTATTACAAGTCACACCCAATTAATATGATGATAAATATTTGTCTTTACATATCATAAACAAAAATGTGTGATTACTTCGAAGTTAACTCTTTAATTTATTTCCTGTTGTTCAGTATGTGATTTCAAACTTTATATGTTGCATACTTATCAATTTATTATATACAAGTTACAAAATAAAAAAACGCACATTTTGTTTGTATTTTGATACTGTCTTTTTTGTTCATACATTTTAATTATGTTGTTAATTTATTGAATTTGAGTTTTGTTGTTTTCAAATTTGTTATAAAATTTACAACTTAATCAATATCAAGTTAGTCTTATTTTGTAAAATATAAAACAATTCCAATGTTATTTAAAATTCTACTTTATAAAATAAAAATATCTAAAACAAACACAATAAATATCATTATTAAACACTATGTCTATTTTAATAATTAAACAATTCGACCAGACAAATTTTGATATAAATGTTCAAAATTAATTTGTGTAACAACCGAAGAATAAACAATTTATTAAAATTTATTCAATTTAAAATGATTATTTTTGAACAATTTATTGATATTGAAAAAATATCAATAAATTATTTCAAAATAAAAAAACGAAAGATTTTTTAAATGAGTAAAAACAAATTATATTACCAATAATATCCATAATTTTTGTGGATTTCTAATGACCATTATCAAAATCATTTTT